ATCAGAGTTCATAGAAGAGGCCCACAGAACCTTCAAGATTTGAAGAGACTGTGGAAGAATGGGCCAAAATCACACCTGAGCAATGCATGCGACTAGTTTCTCCATACAGGAGACGTCTTGAAGCTGTCATTACCAACAAAGGCTTTTGTACAAAGTATTAAATACATTTCAGTAGTTCAATACTTTTTCACTGTGTCATTCCATTATATTACACGTAACTTAATTTCTGAACTTATTTGTTTTGTTTTAATTGTATGTATGGATTACTTGGGTTGTTACCGACATCTGGTGAAAATTTCATGTCAACAGCACTTTTAGAAATATATTTACTGGGAAAAATGGTGACGTGTTCAATATTTATTTTACCCGCTGTATGTAATGTACAATTATATACTTTGTATTACTCATGATCATCCTTCTTTCACTTTTTTAAAAGGAGTCCAGTCATTACGTCATGAGAGATCACAGACCATATTCCATCCCATCACCATCCAACAGTGCCCCAAGCCAGGGCCTCCACAGCAAGAAACCCACCAAACAGGGGCAACCCAATCATCCGGTCCGAGATCATCCAGGCCCCCATCCCCGTGGGGCCAAAGGGGGCTGGGATTGCCCATCACCAGCAAACCTCACCAGTGTGCCTTACAGTCAGCAGCACCAGCTCCCTCCACCACAGAGGCACACCGGCCCCTTCAGCAGCCCAGCCACCTCAGTACCTCAGCCCAGATTCAACACAGCACAGCCTGGCTGGAAAACACAGAGCCGCTCGGGAAAACATGGCAGTAGTGTGAGTAAATGAAGAAAGAATTTTCATTTCTGGGTCAACTATTCCTTTCAATATAATGCCCAATGTTCAAAGAACTAGTCTCAGCCTCAGACAACACACCCACAGACTGTATAAGTGGGCGTTCTTGGCCAGAATAAGCTCCAAAACTTAATATCAGTAGTCAAAAGTCTATCAAGGCTTCTGCAAGGCTATCAATTAAATATCAAGTCCATATAAATTATCAGTGAAAGCCAAACATTACATTTCACAAAGCAATTCACATATATATCGAGCTGCTCTTTTGTATTAGTAGCCTATAAACTTGTGAAATGTTCGGGCATTTGTTTCTCTACAGGAGATGGGGCGTACCACCTCTGGCCTGGAATCTCAAGAGTCTGTGGGTGGGGACAGAAAACAGCCAAGCGCATCTAAACATATTAGCCGCCAACGGAGTCCCATCCAGTCGTACAGCAGTGCAGAGGGTAGAGTTACAGATTGTTCAGAATGGAGGAGCCCAGAGACTGGGTTAAAGAAACACAATCAGAGAGACTCAGACTCCCCTTCTTTACCCGGCACTCAAACCTCAGACAGAGGTCAGAGGGCACAGAAGTCAGAAATGAAGAAGAGCAGCCACTCTAAACACCAGACTGGGTTCAAATCCACCCACAAGAGCTGCCTCAGCAAGCTGGACACTGAACTCTTGAAACACATTCAGGCCAAGAGGAGGCACAAGGAGCGTTCAAGGAGGGAGAAAAAGAAGGAAGCAGAGCTGTTAGACACAAGAGAACGGATGGAGAAAAAAATGGAGGACAGGAAAAAGAAAAAGATGAGGGACGGAAGAAAGGGGCATGATAAGAAGAACATATACCAAAATGGCCGACAGTTGGGACAGATAACAAGAAGAGCAAAGGAGGAGAGGAAAAAAGGAATGTATGAAGACAGGAAGAGTGAGACGCCTTCGAAATCAGCATCTCCCAATTTAGGAACATTGTATCCCAGTGATTCTGAACCTCTCCTGGATGACCTACTGTTTGAGCCACTTCATCTCAATCACAGAGAGGAAGAGTTCTCTCGACATACCTCAGGGTTCATCCCACCGTCTACATCCCCTCCTGTCAGTAATAACCATTGTTCTCCATGCCAGTCAACCCATGAAGCCAATACTAAAGCCTTAGAGGTTGACGACCAATCAGAATCTTCTGAGCCTGACCATGTAGACACTAGTGATGATGACAGTGTAGAAGCCCATGATGTTGGTAGGTCCAAACTTACTCTTCCCGATAAGCAGAGGAGTTGTGAGGAAGAAACCATCAGAAGTAAAGAGGGTATTTTAGGGTTGATTAGTGCCCCAGACCTCCTCCCGGCTCACTGCACCTATAGTGAGGAGCTCCTAAGGCTGGACCCACCAACAAGCCCACCTGTTCTGAGCTGGCAGGGCTCTCCAGTGTCGGACTTAGGTGATGATGATGAGGAAGGGAAAGAGGGAGATATGATTAGAGTACTGAGGAGGCCAGTGCTACAACCTAGTCCAACACACTCATCTCCACTAAGAGATCCAGTGGAGATCAACACTGGAGCCGACTATTGCCACAGTGACCTGGCCAAACTGTACGGTCTTCCTGAGTCCTCTAAAGCAATGGACACTGAGGAAGAAGATGAAGAAAATAGAGAAGGAGAGCAGAAATATAGTAGTCCTGATGCATCAAGTAGCTCTGAGCCCAACAAACCACACTTGCACCAAATGGACACATTCGAATCAGCGACCTCAGCGATGGGCAGCCATAGATACACTTACAGGGGTGGGCCATTTGGACGGCCACCCCCTGGTGCATTAGTTGGGGTGAAATACTCATCATCTCTGTCCTTGGGTCCTGAGATCCACCCTCCAGACCAGCACAGTCCACCTGCCACATCTCCAATTACAGAAATCCCAGATCAGGTCACACCACCACTGATCCAGCCTGCAGAGAAGGACAAAGAGAGTGAAACTGAGGAAGAAAGAATGGAAACCAATGCAAAAGAGGAAGGAATAGAAGAAGAAAGGGAGAAAACTGATGTGCAGAAGATGGATGAACAAATGGAGGTCAAAGTAGCTGAATCAGCTAAAGACCCAACCTGCACTTCACTGGAGGAGAAGGAACCTGTAATGTCTCACGCCACTCTGCAGGATAAACTAGTACAAAGCTGCGAGCTTCTGCTCAATCAAAACTCCAGCCCTCTGTCAAAGGCTATGAAAGTCAGCGGGTCCACGTCTACTGAGAGAGAAAAGGAGCAAGACAGAGCCAGACAGAAAGATCAAGTGAGGTCTCCAAGAAAAGCTGGTCGGAAAGTAAAAGGAGAAGATCCCGAAAAGAGTAATGGAGAAGAGAATAAAAAGGAAAAAGTGAAGGTTGAGACTAAGACAAAGGATTCATCTTCTGAAGGTTTAAATGAGCACTTGGTGGAAATCAAGAACAAACAGGTTGCCCCAGAAAACCAAAAAATTGACTTGAAAGATGGAGAAACAGAATCTAAAGAAGTCAAGAGAGAAAAAGAGACAGACATTAAAAACGAGACCATGAAAGAAGACACACTAAAGGCTGATACATCCACAGCATCATCTACATCTGCCACAACCAACACGCAAACCCCTGTTACTGTGACACCCTCCAGCAGACCTCCGCTGCTGGCCCGGGTCAATCTCCTTAATCTGCAGGAGTTGTCTAAAATTCCCTTGAAAGAACTGAGGATCTGTTTGGTCAGGGTTGAGAGTGGAGGTTGGCAGACTTGCATTGCATCAGAGATTGAGCAGAAGACCATGCCACTCAATGCCATCAACATCAAAAATAGCGCAGCTGAGGTCATACAAGCCTGCAAGTAAGTTCACATCTGACTTTAGACCTCAGATTATTCTGATGTACTTAATAGTTATTAGCGGTGCTTGTTGAGGCTAAATGGCTATAAAGCTAAAGGCTAAATTCCATGGACTGACACTGAAGGCACCTGATCCATATCTAAAAACAGAATGTTGGAGGTGCACTCTTTTAACTTGGGCCAGTAATCAACCACCTAGCGACCACCCAGAACACCTTAGTAACGCATACCATTGGGCTAAAAGAGCCACTTAGGAACCACACGGCACCACCCAGGCACCTATTCACAGCACCCTAGCATCATAACAGTGTTTAATGCTCTAAACTTAGTATTATAATGACTTTGATGGGGAATATGAACCATGCATCTTACTTTATTTTTTTCTGTTTTTTGTTCTCTGCATTTACACACACACCCTTTCTGTTTCTGTGACAGAGGGGCAAACATCAAGAGCAAGTTTCGGGAGTCATACCTGCTTCCAGCGTTTTCAGTGAAACTTATCCTGTCCACCGAGACTCCTATTCCCAGAGAGAAACTCAACCCTCCAACACCGAGCATTTATGTGAGTTGAGGCCAATCAGTTCATAAGGCTTAAGGTTTAATAAAGTACTGTAATTTATTAATCATATTCTCTGTCAGACATTAGTTTATATGGATACATTAGATGTCTTTATTATTGTTGTTGTAATGATAAACAATAACCATTTAAGTTGACTGTTTGATGTCTGTTATTCTGACTTTCTGTTTATGTTTTTATATTTTTAGCTAGAGAGTAAAAGAGATGCCTTTTCTCCGGTGCTGCTGCAGTTCTGCACAGACCCTAAAAATGCTGTTACTGTCATCAGAGGACTGGCTGGATCCCTCCGTCTCAGTGAGAAAATACAATATCACAAACACACACACATTATGTCTACATTAATACGAAAACACTTAAAAACTACGTTTTCCAAAAGTTTCCCCATCCACCCTGAAATGTCAGAAAACACTAAAATCATTTTATTGCACACATGTAAAACGTAATAAAAGCTTGGTGAGATATAAAGTAATATAAAAAAATATTCAATATAAATATGAGATATAAAATACAGTTCTCATGCTGTTATTCTGCCATGGTCTGTTTATTAGCAAAAAATCCCATCACTTACTGGTGTGTCTAGTGCGCACTCCATTATTCCATGTATGGTCTAAAATGCAATTGTCCTCATGTTTTGCTGCAAGGCAGCAGTTGCAGGTTCATGATCTCTGCTGGAATGTAATATGAACAAAAATAGTGCAAAGTAACATATATCCTATCATTTACAACACTATGAAAGTGAATACCATATATTAGGCACATTCCAGTATAAACATAGATATCTATCACATGACTAAACATGCCATCGTTTTCAAAAAGCTCAGTTTTCGCAGGACAAAAACGCCGTCTCAGTATGGACGGAAGTCAAAAACTTAGAGAAAAAGATGGCTTTCAAATGTTTCCCGTTTAGTGTGACATTCTTGTCTTTCTGTTAGATCTGGGTCTGTTCTCCACTAAATCCCTGGTTGAGGCCAACTCAGAGCATGCGGTGGAAGTGAGGACTCAGGTGCAGCAGCCAGCAGACGAGAACTGGAACCATTTAGGATCCGCCCAGACCTGGCCCTGCGAAAGCAGCAGATCTCACACTACCATCGCTAAATACGCACAGTACCAAGCATCCAGTTTCCAGGAGAGCTTACAGGTAGAAATTGTTACCATGAGTGCCTCAGTGGGATCAGAAAGCAACTCTAGCTCATGCTTAACTGGAGTTACATCTAAGTCTCAACGGGAAACACTCTGGTGACAGCGTAACAGTCTGCCTCACCCAATAAAATCATATTAAATTAAATGAAAAATTATTACGTGAAATGTCCCTTCTCCTCCCTCTCAGGACAAGGGTATTGCAGTTTGATGATGCTGAGGGTCCAGGCAATCGCCTGGAAGTTTTAGGTACACAGTGACACGCGCACACTCAAAATGAAATTTAAGAAAATGAAAGCTATTTGTTTTTTTTTAGGAAGAGAAAGACAGTGAAGATGAGGATGAAGAAGACAAATCGGAGGAAAAAACTGTGAAAAAATCCAGCTCCCAAGGAAACACTGAGACTGCCACCACATCCAGGTAAAGTTAAAAAATAATGTTTAAACTATCATATAACAATGCATATACTGTAGATTGCTATTACCAGGCCCAGATTGAATTATATATTTTTTGTTGTTTGTTTGTTTGTTTATTTTTTTTAAATGCTATCTCTGAAAAGTTTCTTTTTTTAACAGCTCGGAGCAGAAAACCATTGGAAAAATCATTAAATTTGGAACCAACATTGACTTGTCAGACCCAAAACGGTGAGAGATGTTCACTTTGATATCACGGTGACATTATTTGACAATCATCCATAAAATAATGTTGGACAGGGAGACTATGGGGGTCATGCGCAACAGATTTCCGTATTAAAGCAGGTCTCGTTGCTTCCGGTTCAAGTGTTTTGTACAGTATGTGGAGCTGTTTAACTCAAGATGCCTTCCAAAGAGATACCAAAGATGATGATAACCGATGTCCATCAGTATGTAGATTGATATCTGAAAGTTTTTTTATCTTTTAAATTAACTTTTGAATATTAAAATTTAATAAAGCCCCAATAATAACAACAACTAGCTAGCTTAGCTGATTACCTTAAAAGTCCATAGATATTGCCATCAGTTCGTACTGCTGTTAACACTTTCTCCAACAAGCGATGAGACCTGTTTTCCGGTTTGGTCGGGTGACTTTCGACATATACCCCATTCACTGTGCTTTTATGAGTGTCATTATTACTTGCATTGGTGTGAGTAAAGGACTGTGGGGTCTTGTGTTCAGGTGGAAGCTGCAGCTGCAGGAGCTGTTGAAGTTGCCTGCGTTCATGCGTGTGTCCTCCAGCACGAACATGCTGAGTCACGTTGGCCAAACTATACTGGGCATGAACACAGTCCAGCTTTATATGAAGGTCCCTGGCAGCCGCACACCAGGTCAGTGCACACACACACACACACAAACACACACACGAGGTATTCGTGCATTTGAGACTTCTCTAACCCTCACTAACTTAGATTTGAAAAAAGACATTATTGAATTCATTTATGAAGTTGTTTACCTTGTGGATTTTTTTTATTTTTATTACCATTCAGAAGTTTGGTCTCCGTCAGAATAACAAAACTTTAACACACAATATTATCATAGAGAAACATGTTTGATTTAATTGTATTTTTTAAAAATAGGATTCATTATCATTATACAAAATTTAATTTATGTTATTTTTTAAAATATGACCTGGACATGTTTAAAATAAAGCAAAAGAAAAAATGGTCATAAACCTTAAGCCTGACATCCTCTCTTAAGGACATCAGGAATTTATTTATTTATTTTTGTATGCTTCATTTTCAGTTTGCAAAATAGAAATTATAATATTTTTGTGAAATTTGACCTGGACATGAATTGGAAAAATTGGAATGATTATTTTTTTATTTGCCTTTATTTTACTTGCATTTGTTTACAAAAAAGGCTTCATTTTTCATTATGATAAATAGAATTTATAATTTGTAAAACGTTACCTGGACATGTTAACAATAAAATATCAAAATGTATGATATGATTTTTTTTTTCATCATTTATTTATTAAAATAGACAAAATTGTAGAATTTGTCAAATGTGACAATGTTTGAAATAAAATTAAAATATTATCAGATGTTATTTTATTTTAACCAAAGTAAAACTTTATTTTGATTATATTACATAGACTTTGTTAAATGTGACTTGAACATGTTTTAAAAAAAAATAAAAATAAAAATAAAAAATTGAAGATCTGATTTCCTCTCTCTAGGACATCAGGAAAATAATAACTTCTGTAGAAATTATAATATTTTTGTGAAATGTGACCTGGACACGTTAAAAAAAATATGTAATGATAATTTTTTTTATTTGCCTTTATTTACTTACATTTGTTTTTTAAAAAGGCTTCATTTTTCATTATGATAAATAGAATTTATAATTTGTAAAACGTTACCTGGACATGTTAACAATAAAATATCAAAATGTATGATATGATTTTTTTTTTCATCATTTATTTATTAAAATAGACAAAATTGTAGAATTTGTCAAATGTGACAATGTTTGAAATAAAATTAAAATATTATCAGATGTTATTTTATTTTAACCAAAGTAAAACTTTATTTTGATTATATTACATAGACTTTGTTAAATGTGACTTGAACATGTTTTAAAAAAAAATAAAAATAAAAATAAAAAATTGAAGATCTGATTTCCTCTCTCTAGGACATCAGGAAAATAATAACTTCTGTTCAGTGAACATCAATATTGGCCCTGGAGACTGTGAGTGGTTTGCCGTCCATGAACACTACTGGAAAGCCATCAGTGACTTATGCGAAAAGTAAGATTTGGATCACACATGGCAGTTATTTTTATGGCTTAGCATGATGACAAATGCGATTATATATAAAGCTTATGTCTTCTGTGTGTTAGGCATACTGTGGACTATCTGACAGGCTCGTGGTGGCCAGTTCTGGAGGATCTGTACCGTTCAAACATCCCAGTGTACCGCTTCATTCAGAGACCCGGTGACCTGGTGTGGATCAACGCTGGCACTGTGCACTGGGTCCAGGCCGTGGGCTGGTGCAACAACATTGCCTGGAACGTGGGCCCTTTAAATGGTGAGTCTACACTGTGACAATAGAGGGCGCCAAAGACATTCACCACACATTTACTGTAAATATATTTGGCACTTGCTTCATCTTTGTCTTTCCAGCCTATCAATACCAGCTGGCTCTTGAACGCTTTGAATGGAACGAGATCAAGAAAGTAAAATCAATCGTCCCCATGATTCACGTGTCCTGGAACGTCGCCCGCACAGTCAAGATCACAGACCCAAACACATTCAAGATGATCAAGTGAGTGCGGCGTTGCATTATTTGTGTCACTGAGACCTACTTGAAATGATTTCATAGTTCCATCTCCTTCTTGTCTTGTCTTTCAGACATTGTCTGCTCCAGTCCATCAAACAAATTCAGATTTTGAGGGACCAGCTGGTGTCTGCAGGGAAGAAGATCTCCTATCAGAGCAGGGTGAAGGATGAGCCAGCGTACTACTGCAACGAGTGCGACGTGAGGATACTCAATAGATTGATGGCAAATAATGTTCTGTCGTGAGATGTTGCATCTTGTTGATGTATGTGACTGTGCATGTGTGAACAGGTGGAGGTGTTTAACCTGCTGTTTGTGACCAGTGAGAACAGCAGTAGGAAGACGTATGTGGTTCACTGTGAGGACTGCGCTCGGGAGCAGATCCCCAGTCTGAGCGGGATGGTGGTGCTGGAGCAGTACCGCATCAGTGAGCTCATGAACACATATGATAACTTCACCCTGGTAAGACAAACACTCATACGCACTAATGTGAAAGCGTAACATGTGATAATATTTGATTTTACTGTTTCTTTTTATTTATAAGACAAAAAGGCTTTATTTTAGGTATCCTTGAATTTATAATTTTGTGAAATGTGACCTGAACATTAAAATAAAAAATGCAATGATATTGCAATAATAGTTTTTTTTTTTTT